AGGGCGATGCCATCCAGGGAAACTATATCTCTAGATAATGCGTCACGAAGGTGTTTAGGCCCTAGAACAATAATTTCAGTTTTAGCTGAGTTTAACATTAGAAAATTGCAGGTCATCCAGGTTTTAACAACCTGAAGGCACATTTGAAGCTTAGCTAGCTGATGAGTTTAAACTGGCTTGATCGATAGGTATAACTGAGTATCATCTGCATAGCAATGAAAGTTGATAGAGTGTTTCCTGATAATATTACTTAAAGGAAGCATATATAAAGTAAAGAGGATTGGTCCGAGAACGGATCCTTGCGGAACTCCGTGGCTAACTCTGGCATGCATGGAGGACTCATCGTTAACATGCACAAACTGAAACCGATCTGATAAATAGGACCTAAACCAACTTAGAACGGCTCCTTTAATGCCGATGAAATGTTCCAGTCTCTGTAGTAGGATCTGATGGTCAATGGTGTCAAAAGCAGCACTAAGATCTAATAAAACCAAGACGGAGACGAGTCCTTTGTCTGATGCCATTAGGAGGTCATTAGTAATTTTCACCAGTGCGGTCTCTGTGCTATGGTGAGCTCTAAATCCTGACTGAAAATCCTCAAACAAGCTATTGCTATGTAGATAGTCACACAGCTGTTTGGCTACTGCTTTCTCCAGGACCTTGGAGATGAATGGAAGGTTGGATATAGGTCTATAGTTGGCTAAAACATCTGGGTCCAGGTTAGGCTTTTTCAAAAGAGGCTTAATTACAGCTACTTTAAAGTACTGTGGCACATAGCCTGTTAATAAGGACAGATTGATCACGTCTAGCAGAGAAGTACCGACTAAGGGTAGGACTTTTTTAAGCAACCTAGTCGGGATGGGGTCCAAGAGGCAAGTTGAAGGTTTGGATGAAGAAATGATTGAGGTTAGTTGACAAAGATTGAGGGAAGCAAAACAGTCAAAACATATAACTGGTTCTGGTCCTACAGTTTCTGAGTTTAAAGATAAGTCGATGCTAGTTGAGGGCAAGTCTTGGTGGATTTTGTTCCTGATAGCTAGAATTCTATCGTTAAAAAAGCTCATGAAGTCATGGCTAGTGAGAGCTATTGGAATACTTGATTCAATAGAGCTGTGGCTCTCAGTCAGCCTGGCAACAGTGCTGAAAAGAAACCTGGGATTGTTCCTATTTTCCTTAATTAAAGACGAGTAACATGCTGCTTTGGCATCACGGAGGGCCTTCCTAAAAGCTTTAAGACTTTCTTGCCAAGATAAACGAGACTTTTCCAGCTTGGTTGAACGGCAGTTCTTCTCAAGTTTCCGAGATATCTGCTTTAATTTGCGGGTTTCACTAGTATACCATGGAGCTAACCATCTTCTTTAGGGGGGCTACAGCGTTAAGTGCTGTTCGCAGCGAGCCTTCAACACTATCAACAAGATGATCAACTTGGGAAGGACTGAAATTAACATAAGAGTCCTCTGTTTCTGTACGACTTGATAATGGATGTAGAGCTGATGGAATCACATCCTTAAATTTAGCTATAGCACTATCAGACAGGCATCTTGAGTAGACATTTTTACCCAGTGGAGGGTAATTCAGCAGTAAAAGCTCAAAAGTTAGCAAACAGTGGTCAGATAAAGACGGATTATGTGGGAACACTATTAAATGTTCAATTTCAATACCATACACCAGAACAAGGTCAAGGGTGTGGTTAAAACAGTGAGTCGGTTCATGAACACTCTGAGAGAAGCCAATGGAATCTAACAGAGAGATAAATGCAGTACTGAGGCTGTCATTCTCAACATCCACATGGATATTGAAGTCCCCTACAATAATTACTTTGTCCGTTTTAAGGACTAAAGTTGACAAAAACTCTGCAAATTCAGATAAGAATTCAGAGTATGGACAGGGTGGTCGGTACACTATAATAAATAGAATAGGTTGCAGTGATTTCCAGCTTGGGTGGGAAAGACTCAGAACAAGGCTTTCAAAAGAGTTATAGTTCAATTTAGCTTTAGAGCTGATTACAAGACTGGAGTCAAAGATAGCTGCAACTCCACCTCCTCGACCTGTGCTTCGAGGAATGTGAGTATTCCTATGATTGGGAGGGGTGGATTCATTTAGGCTCACATATTCTCCATCACCCAGCCAGGTTTCAGTAAGACAAAATAAATCAATCTTATAATCTGATATGAGTTAATTTACAAGCACACCTTTAGAAGAGAGAGATCTGATATTCAAGAGTCCACATTTTACTCTGTTATTTGCATGCACTATTTCTCTTGTGGTTTTAACTTTTATGAGGTTTCTATAGACAACTCCTCTGTTTACCCTTAATTTAAAAAAAATAAATGACCGGGGGACAGACACCGTGTCTATAGGTTTTTCACTAAGTAACTCCTGGAATGGAGGAGCAGAGAAGAGGGTTACATTACAACTCTGCTTCCTCATGAACAAGAAACAGGTTTGACTTGGTGCCAAGAATGTAAACATAGCTCTTGCATGGGTATACAGGTACCAGATAGCGTAATTCAGGTATCCCACACTCCATCAGCTACCCCCACAAACCCCTCTTGGAACACAATCATTTGAATTTTCCAGGTTTTCCACGTCTACAAAACACACATGGAATGGATGGTCAAACTCCCATGATCTCCTCCTATTATCATTTTTGGTCCCCTTTTCTTAAGCTGGGGACCACCACTCCAATAAGTAATTCCACAGGCATCATGTCATACCTCCACATGACCCATTGACATTCCATATCCCCAACCTCTCTAGGGACATGAGAGTAATTCTTCCTGAGATGTGATTAAACAATCTCCCAGATAGGGGGCTTCACCAGATGCTCACTCTCATTTCTCATTTGAGTTTACAGGGTTTGTCCAGTCTTCATGTATACAAGTTATCACCAACAAGTGGTCAGTTGACCATCCTGCCCCTGTCTTTACCCAAGTGCTCAATACATTTAGCCAGAGGTCTGATGACATGTCAACAAAGTAAAGTAGACTCCAGGTGGAGATGATCAGTTATTAGTTGGGAGATGTTCAATCACAGAACAGCCATGAGCACTGTGAGGGTGGGTAAAGACACTGCAGGAAAAGTTTGTTCCAAAGAGAAGGAGCTGGTGAGCCATACATTGTTTTGAAGTGTGGAGATATTATAGATGAATATATTAACTTATGGTGCATTCCATCCATCCATCCATTCTCCTCCGCTTATCCGGGGTCGGGTTGCGGGGGCAGCAGCCGAAGCAGGGAAACCCAGACTTCCCTCTCCCCGGCCACTTCCGCCAGCTCCTCCGGGGGGATCCCGAGGCGTTCCCAGGCCAGCCGGGACACATAGTCCCTCCAGCGGGTCCTGGGCCTTCCTCTGGGCCTTCTCCCGGTGGGACGAGCCCGGAACACCTCCCCAGGGAGGCGACCAGGAGGCATCCTGATCAGATGCCCGAGCCACCTCAACTGGCTCCTCTCCACGTGGAGGAGCAGCGACTCTACTCTGAGCCCCTCCCGGATGGCCGAGCTTCTCACCCTATCTCTAAGGGAGAGCCCAGCCACCCTGCGGAGGAAACCCATTTCGGCTGCTTGTATCCGGGATCTCGTTCTTTCGGTCACTACCCAAAGTTTGTGGCCATAGACGAGGGTGGGAACGTAGATCGACCGATATGATGAAAAAGGAAAATGGTGCATTCAGATTAAAATGTTAAAATGTTCTGAAATGTTAAAAAGGACTTATTTAAAATGTGTGTTTAAGAAAAAATACTAGAATGTAAAAATGATCACTGAATAATACTTTAAATATGTTTTGATTTTGGGTGCTTAAATTTTATAGTATATTTTATTCAGGGATCATTTTGAGTTATTTAAAGGGTGTTAATCATTGTTTTCTGTGTGTTTATGATTAAAGGTTTTCACCTACTACCATTGTTGATTCAACAACTTTCAAATAAAAGGGAAAATAATGAAAGAATCCATTTGTGGTGTCTTTTAAACTGGGGTAAAACCTGCAGTTTGAATCTCAAACAAAAAAGTGGGAACCACTTGACAAACATGGTGTCTGTTATGGAGAATCCTTGACTGGCACAGAAGTCAGTGACATGTACATGTGGAGTTGGCTTCCTGACTCTTTTTTAGCTGATCTCTATCAAGTCGCAGGAACTAAGTATCGACAAAAGGTGCTCACTGATGAGGTGAACGCCTGGCTCCAGGCGGTTGCCCTATGAATCGTTGATTTGAAAGTCTCTTGAAATATCATTAACAGACTCACTCTACAATAACAAAAGAAAACAGGCCTTTTTAAAACAGTTAAAGAAGGGAAGAAATATTCTGGATTTGTTTGCAGGCTAATATCATATAGTTCTGAGTGTATCCAAAAACTGAATGATAAAACCAAAACTGGAGCAAATCCACACCAGGCACCCTTGAGATGTTGTGGTTACAAAACACACAACATGCCAGTTACATAATTCAGCTTACTGTGACACTTTATGAAATACTTAATTAACCATAAGCACTAACCACTTGTCATCACTGGGATGAAATTTTGAGTGAAAAATATCTTTGAACATACTGTTATATAGAGATGAAACCAGATCTCTGTGATTTATTTTAGCTGTAGAGGATTGATCTTGTTTCCACAAATGTCAGTTCTTCTTTTCAGATGTCATTTTAGTGTAAAAATGACCGAATAGATGATTGGATTGAGGAAAGAATCCATTGTCAAAAGCTAGCTTATCACTTTCTAGTTCAAATGACTTAAAAAATGTGATATGGTGTTTTAACCTTCTTTTGCAGTTAGTTTTCATCAGTTTATGTGATAGTGACCTTGACTTGGTTCTTTGCAACCAATAGCAAACTTCTTGGGCCTACAGGAATCCACTAACTGTAGGTCCAAGTTGGTGTCTCTTACACAGGGTGTAAGGGACACCCTCTGCCTCACCTTGTACCTGCTAGTCAATGTCAATGCGTTCAGTGAATACATTGTCTTAAGAGTCAGTAGAGTTCTGTCTTTCATCATGGATATTTATTATACACACTAATATCTTAGTTGATTAAATGCTTAGGTCACCAAGCCACTGGAGAAGGATAACCTGTCTACACCATGATATTTGAAGCAGAAGGACATAGTAGTAAAGGGGGCAACCTTTACCTAAGAGCAATGGGAAGAGTCTGTGAACAAAAGGAAGAGACTGATTATACAAAATGCACATGAGCAAAGATTATGTCAAACCTGTTCAATATGTGAAGGTATTTTAAAACCATAATCATTGTACAACTTCACAAACGGCTTCTTGTAACTGTTAACCTGGTCCAGTTTAATTTTCTATAGCATCGAAAAGGCCACACTAAAAATAATTTTCCAGTTGTGCTTGATACTTTGCCTCTTTAGTGTAAAAAGGCATTAACTTTAATAGCATACACTTATTACATTTTTATTTAAGTTTATTTGAAATTATGACAAAAATGTACCTTCAATATTTTTTAAAGACAACAAATACACTCTTACAAACACAAACCCGGTAGTTTTAAGCACAGGCAAAATGGTGGAAAATCAAATGATCAAAGTGACGGCAACATTTGAGTATCTTGAACTGGTTTTTACTGTTCTCACAATGATATCGCAATAATGATAGGAAGCTTACTGAGGATCACACAGTGCTTCCTCTGCTGTATTTACAAAATGGCACCACTGGTCACTCCAATGACCCCAATGAATCATGTTTAAAAGGAAAAACATAAAAATACATACTTTACACACACACACATATATACATATATGTGTATTTATATATATCAATTTGCTTGTCATTGCAAACATTCATACCTGTCCAACAATGGCTCAATCACACCTGTGGCCATTCAAAAGAAGTAAATAATGACAACTAAAGACAAAAGCAATCTTGACTAGATGAGCAGTTTAGAAGTTGTAACTCTTCAGTTCAGTTTAACCACGCCTGGCCTCTTGTTAAAAGAAATCCAGTTAACCATTTATTTTCACACAATCTACATAATAATGATATCAGGCTGTTAACACTTTAGCTGATTAATCCATGATAGTATGAGAGAAGATAAAAAGATCAATAGTAATAGTCAATCTTGCAATCATAATCTGAAACCTATAGGGCACATTTCAAGGCCCACCTCAATTGAGGTGCTGTAGAAATGGGCGTACGCCAGTGGAATTCTCCAAAAGTTGCACCACTATATCACTGAATGCCAACAGTAAGTTACAAAATGTAATACTTTTGTGTTCTGTGACATTCAAGGGAAGCAAATAGCTGTTGAGTCATCTTAGTTTTGTTAGATTGCTACAAGAAACCTGTAAAATGAAAGTTTTTGCAGAGATTCTAGGTGAGACTTTAAGAGTTGAGGAGGAGATAGGTCTAGAGCTATTTGAACAAATATTGTTTTGGACATTATATTACAAAATCTTAAACTGACTTTGATAAATGTGGGTGAAAAATCTAGCTGCAATACAAAGAACAAAATGTTAGGCAACCAAGAAGACAATGCCAGTTAAACATACAGTAAGAATCTTGGGTTAGTTTACCTTACCCCCCCTAAAAAAAAAAGAAAATAGGAAATACCTCTCATTTGTTTAGAGTCCCATTTAAAGTGTGAGAATTTGTAGTGTTTATTGGAATGATTAAATAACTGAGGGGACATGGGACTTTACACAGGTGAATTATACTGACATTACAATACATTTTTTTCAAAGCCCATAAAAAGCTAATAATCCAAAGATGATTAAACAAATAAATCATCAGCGATCTGCACACAGCAGCAGGGATCTTGCTTTTATAACCTCCCTGCCAAAAAAATGCCCTTTTGTTTGCTCATTAGAGGCACCAGTCTAACTTTTGCAAAACATTAATACATCGTCATGTGTAACACATTCACATTACAGAAAGTGTTAAGATGAAGAGCCACATTTACGTCTTGAAGCGCATGCCACCCGGAGAAGAGTAGAAAGCTATCCCCTTGGGTAAGGGTGCAGTGGTTGATGAGAGGGAGGTGGTTGACTTTGCTGCAAATCTTATGGAGACATCCCTTTTAGATAAAGGAACACACCCCCTTGTATTCCTCAGGGTCAGCAGGAAAACTTAGTAAGGTCAGCCCAATGGAGGCCACTGTCAAAAAGTGAAAATAATTTTTGTACACTGTCCAAGATTCAGAATCTGTCAATTTTCCTCAGCATGTAGGGTCCAGTGTTTGGCAATGACATACAGTAGTTCTCAAATCACTTCATGTTTTCTTCTTTGTTCTCTGTTCCTGAGTGTCTTTCTAAGTCCCGTTTTTCTTTTTCTCTAATCTCAGGTGCAGCAGTCTCGCTCAACATGCCAAAAGAATGGAGAGTGGGTGGGCAGGGACATAGATGTAGAAGGCTCAGAAGAGGAGGATGATGATGTTGAGGAAGAAGATGTTGTGGCAAGGAGGGAAGGGTAAGGGCTCATCTTGTCAATGTTAACGTATGTTGTATTGAGAAGGACATAGTGCTCTCCGCTGAAGCCAGAGAAAATGCTGGAGATTTGGGACACCAACTCAGCGAAGGAGGGCCGCTGCTGTGGCTTTGGATGCCAGCATTTGATCATCACTGTGTATCTGTGGGTGGAGAAGAGACACATCAGCACATGACATAGACAGGTTGCAGATTCTGAGGTAAGGCTAATCATTGCCCGATATCTTCGAGGTGTCTACAAATTCTTAGTCCCAGTTTTTGTTTTATCCAACCTCAGGGCAGATTTCCATTTCACCTGAGGCCATCATGAGTTAACCCAGTCTCACAGAAGGTAAAATAGTCCCTGATTTTTGTGTAAGCACACAAACATTGAACCATGTTTGATGACAAAGTTCCAAAGTGCATACCGTGATTTCCTGCCCCTAGCAAAAATACTTTGTTTTGTATCACTGACTAACATCCCGGCTATTAAGCAATGTCTTATCAACCTAGTCGGCAGGTTTTTATTCTATCCCTATTTATCAGTTTGTAAAGCAGCAAGATTTTAAAACTGTATTTGCATTTGTTGTGAAATTTGATGCTTTTAATCAAAATGTTCTGACCAGAAGCAAATATGAACACATTTAAAAGATATTCAATTCCAAAAACTTTTTCAGTTGTTTTTTTTCCGGCACCTGAAGGCATCTAGGGAGGTGTGGTCCCTGGGTCCCCCAGGACTTAAACCCAGAACCCTCTTGCTGTTAGGCAATGGTGCTAACCACCACACCACTGTACTGCCGTTAATTAATTCCTGTTTTACTTTTATTTTTATTTTTGTATTTGATTTTGTGTTTTTTCCATTGTGGCAGTATTTTGTTTGGAACTTTCCTGTGTCTTTTTACAGGTAATTTATGGTTATACTTTTCGAAAGAGTGAAATTTCATTGTACTTTTTTCATGTGGCTTCATGTGATCTTTACTTTATACTTTTCCAGAATCTGTTTGTACTTTTACCCTGCTGTATAGCGATGATTTTTCATTCTCCAATGAAATAACTTTATTTTTGATTCAAGAGATTCTATTTTGTTACTTCTGAGTCCCGGCAAGTGAATCTGCATTAAATAGACCGTTAAAACAACTTCAACTCATAAGTCAACAATCTAACTGGGTGTTGTTTTTTCTTTCTCCTACTTAATACAGAAATCATAAACTGTCAAAAAAATGAATCAACATGACTCCATTACTACATGTCCAAAGTAACTAAAAATGTGTGTTACAATTCAGAATGATTAGCAGTGAGGAATAGCAGAAATAACTGGAAGCATAGATCAACTCATGATTTTTTGTCTTAGCCTTTCTCTCAACTGAACACATCCACTCTCCTCCCTTGACTTTGCACACACACACAGGTGACCTCATATGGCCACTCTGTGAGATTCTCCATATTTTTTTCAAGTTTAGTCTCCTGCTTTTCATCTTTTTATCCAAATAGCGCTTGTTCTTGTGTTTGCTGGATCATTTTGTTCATTTTGTTTTTCTGACAATCAAAATGTATCCTGTCTAAAAATTTTGCTTGGTAAACTCAAATGTGAACAGGTCCAAAGAATACTGCAGAAACAAACATTCAAGACAATAAGGTTCTCTAGTGACCACACAGTGCTGATTGATGACTGATCTTTTGAAACACTTAGGTTCCACAGCAACAAGTGCCAGCAACAAAAGAGACTTGATATATTTTTCTTGGATATCCATTTACATCTGCGACAAAACAATAAAAGTGACTCTTATTTGATCCACAGATGTGATCAAATTTACGTCTGAAATTTGTTTGAGTCTCTTCATGATAAAGATGGATTGCTTGACTTTGGACTGCTTTTTATCTATGTTTTCCATTGTTTATACATCTTACATCACCATTTTACCTTGTTGTTACGTCCTGGTATCTTCTCCTAATGTGCGCTATCTGTAGTATATCGCTTATGTTAACTGAGGCATGGCTTTGTGCTGACTGAGCTAGAGGCTAACTGTACACTCACAGAGAGTCGGGGCAAAACTCTGGCTGCAGGAGCCTTCTCCCCTGTAGGAGGAACACGGTGATGTCGAAGGAGTTCACATCAGAATATGGGGGGGCTCCACGGGTCATCAGTTCCCATAGTAACACACCAAACGACCACTGTGGGAGAGAGAGATTAAACTTCTTTTTAAATAACCATTATCCTATGCTAACACCACATTCTTTTGTTGCAATGTACAATTGGACAACATAAAACAGAATTTTTCTGTACAATGTGGAAGAGTCCTCACCACATCTGACTTGGTGGTGAATTTGTGGGTTTGGAGACTCTCCAGAGCCATCCATTTGACAGGTAGCTTTACTCCACTCTTGTTGTGGACACTGTAATATTCTTTGTCGTAAACGTCCCGAGCAAGGCCAAAATCTGCCACCTTTACAGTGTAGTTCTCATCTAGCCTGTAAGAACAATAAGGAAATTACTTTTGGTGTACTCCTGTTATTTGTTAAGTTAATCTTGTGTATGAACCAAAAATACTTCAGCGTTTTCGTATCAAGCAAACAGTTAATAAAAGACAGAATTTCAGAAAATAGGGAACCGAAATTAAGGAACGCCTTTAAGGTGGAATTTATATATATATTTTTTACAAACAAGGTCTCAGATTGTTCATTGTCCACTCATATACATAAATTTGCCATTTGTCATTTGAAAGATACCAAATTTGGAAGCACAAAATCATTTCTTACTTCTTATGTAGCACTATTTGGCTAAATGTTATTTGAAAAATAATATAACATTCACTGTAAAGCCAGTCTTTAAGACCACAATAGGTCAACAACTCATATTAATGGAGACTGGAGAATAATGCAAAAAAACAAAAAAACTAAAAAACTAAAAACTAAACCAAAACCATCCAAACGTAGAACTATCATTCAAAGACAATCTAGAACTGTTGTGATCCTAGTGTGTGTATATTGCTTTGTCTCGTTCATGTTTAGCAGAAGAGCTCACATGCAGTTCCTGGCAGCAAGATCTCGATGGACAAACTTCTTGCTGGCTAGATACTCCATCCCTCTGGCAACCTGCAGCCCGAAGCCCATCAGATCCTTAACCGTTGGGTTCTGCAAGTCACAGTAGCCATTACTTTATTTCAGATCATCTTAAAGAAGCATAAGATCTCATCAAGCTGTCTTAAAAATTTCATGTCTACTTTTTCCAATCATGTGTGCCCTTACATGCCCCTCGTCGCGAATGAAATTGCGCAGGTCGCCATGTTTCATGTAGGGCAGAACCACCAGCGGGGAACCCTCTGGTGGAAGACAGATGCCCAAAAGAGAGAGGACATTGGGGTGACTGAAGTCCTTCATGATGATACCCTCCTTCAGGAACTGGGACACTTCTTCCAAGTCTGTGATACCTTGTTTAACGAAAATAAAACAGAGAACCCACTCCATTTTAAACTCATGCTTGAAGTAAACTAAAAATGATGTGTACTTGTAAAAATTTTGTGTCAGTAGATGTGAAACAGAAGAACATGCTTGAGGTAAGAGGACTATAAGTTAACTCCTTTTTTGCCATCAGCACCAAGGTCTTTCCTTTGATATCTTTAATGAATGAAGAAGATGATATATAGTTCATGAAAAGATAACCCTTACCCAACTGTCCATTCATCTGCCAAATTCACCCCTGCTTCTGGTGTTTTGGACTTTAGCCTCTCTGACTTTATAATCTATTTATAACGACAGCTCTTGAAGTGGATGATTGCCTTCATCTGAGATCAGAGCCCAAGCACACAAAGAGATTCTACTAAATTCCAGAGCCTTAGTGAAAGTTACTGAAGATAAGTACTTTATCACTATGAGGAGGATTCTTGAGAATTTTAATTTGACTTGATCATATTTACTTTATCTTACTATCACAGCTCAATTAAAATAAAAGCATAGACTGAGCTCTCAGATGCAACAAAGGCTAAAAATTAGGATATTGTCAGTTCACTTGAATTAATAAAAAAAAAATTCAAATCCCACTAGACCAGACCCTAGGCAACCCAATCTAGTCTATCTCATTGTGGCTTTTACCTCCCTGTGACTGTATAACTCTTTCCTCATTGTTCTGGCATCCACCTTCTTGCAATCTTCCAGCAGACAATTCCATTATTAAACTGGAGCATAACCTCTTCTAATTGAAGACCTTCTTCGGTAAAGACATTGCCAGTCTAGCTTTACAAGTCTACTGAGCACGGCATACTTATTACCTACAGGGTTGTAACCTAGCTAACCTTTACCAAATACTATAAACCACACTCACAAAAGCCTCCTTCTCTGTCGATCTGCAGTGAGCAGAGCCGACATCATTGATACTTATGCTAACTACCTATCTGTGGACATCCTTTCTCTCATTGAGATATACATCAATTGAGAAAAGATCTACTCATCCTTCAAGGCCATCTTAATTCCTTTGAACACTATGCCCTAACGGTGACAGCACAGGCAAAAATCTTTGTGGTTGTTATAGATATGCCACCATTATAACTGGGTGATTTTCCTGACAAACAATTTTCCTGTCTCCTCCATCTCCTCCAACACAATTTTAGCCATCCTTGGTGAATATATACGTTGATAATTCTAAGTCTAGAGGCTTCATACCTCTAGAGTATTCTTTCACACTATTAGAGCTACACAGTCTACCAAATCACAAGGCTGGCAAGTAACTTGGTAACATCTTCCATTCATGTCAATGTTGGCCTCCTAGAGTGGCCTTCTTCAAAGTTTGGGTTATATACAGTATATCCATACTAAGTGACTTCTGGGTGTGCTTGCACCAGCCTCAGTCCTCATATACTCTCCAGTTCATTCTCATCCATTGCCTCCTGTCAGTGGAACGAGTTACCACGTGCTCACATGATAGGGATTCCCCTGTTTAACTTTAAGAAGCTCTTAAAAAGTTGAAATTATTTTTTTATTTTACTTCTCCTCTCACTTCCTCTCCCCCTTTCTTGTTTCTGTTGCATATCATGAACTGCACTGCTGCTTCCTCACACCATCCAAAAACATTAATGCTAGGTTAATTATTTGTCCGGAATGAATGTCAGTGGTGTGATTGTTCATGTCTCTGTGGCCTTGTAATAGACTAACGAGCCATCCACAGTA